TTCTCTCCCGACTAACATGCTAAAGACCAGAACCAGTGAATAGGAGCGGGTTTCATTACCCACGAAGACATGTTATACCGTCCGCTAGTCTGTTTAAATCTCATTATTTCTGGACTCGCACTGACCAGCGATGTTGCTCAAGAGTCGGGGAGCACCCATTCAATGCCTCCGCGTCTCACGGTCCAAGACCATGGGTGAACGGTCTGTGCTGTATCTTGGTCATGAAAACCAGGTGGATTTTTCGACGTGTCCGAGGTCGTTCATCGGCGCCGGACGTCTTTACATTCAACAGTGGAATCTGATCGGCCTCGAGATCTCTCCGGACACCGTACCCGCGCCCTCCTGTGGACGTTTCTCGGATAACACCCAGTCATCTCGCGGTAAACCATGGGATTTCATTCCGGTGACGATACCGCGCCTATGAGCACCTCTCCTGTGATCTCCGACCAAAAGGTTCCATAATTCCCACGTATGCCCTCGGGTGAATTCGAACCACCGGCTCTCAGTTGAACGAAGGTCAGAACGAGATACTGTGACGGAGCGAAACTCATTACTCCACGAAGACGGTGACATGTGCGGTCCTGGCCTGGATAGATCTTAGCTTCTAGCCGTCGGTAGGGATGGTTGACCACGAAATTCTGTCAAGTAGGGGAAAATTCAAGAAGAAATCGACCCCCCAGTCTCGATAATAGACCACGACTAATTTCTAGTCGCGGTTCGTAGAGTCGGAAGCGATCTTTGTCGGGCAATAACCCAGAGCCCGTGATGAGGCAGGTTTCAATACCTTATGAAGTGTGCTTCCGTCAACGCACATCCCATCTTTAAATTCTGATTCCTCGTTCGACGATAAGGAATGTAAAAAGCGGAAATAATGCGAAGACCTTAAGTGTGTCCACCGCATCGCTGTCTTGTGACCAAAAAAAAATACCTAATCTTTCCCCTCATGTTTTCGGGTGGGTTCGAACCACCGCCTCTCCGTTGAAGTTGTTTTGATCGACTTGGCGTACTGCCTCGGAAGCGAGTTTCCTTCCTCCACGAAGACGTTGAGATGCCCCTCCCTCCCCCGCTTGAATGCAATTGCCCCGCTGATGCAAACTGGACTATGGGTCGAATTGCAAGACTAAATTACATATATAGTCCCGACCACCCTGTCGTCGGAATGGGGCAGAAGTAACCTGGAATTGCCAAAATCGATTAATCCTGTCCGCGGTCTTGATCCAATATTGTAAACAAGTGTCGAGGTGTGGGGAAAAGGCCGAGAAAAGGAGCGGCTTCGGAGATCACCGGGATACCAAACAAGGCCACGCTAGTCGTTGATGCCATCACACACTATGCTGCGCCATCACTCATTGAAGGCTCGTTCGCTGTCACCCATCTTGACTGAAGCGTGCGCGAGGCAGCACTACAGCAGAAGCAGACCCTCTTACCCGTCGGCATAACCTAACCCTAATCTTGGTCCCGCTCGCCATCTTCTAACCCTCGTAAACGCCAATGTCGAACCTGCGTGCGAGCTTCATAACGTCGCGAGACCAGCCAAACTCCAGCTCTGGCCTACGCTCCCGGCGCACCAGACTCGTGTTTTTACATGCCACCGCACCCCGCCCGTCACCGCTGTCACCGCCTCACCCGCACGCCCCCTCTGCATCCTTCGCCGCCGGGCACGCGCGCACATGCCGTGCCCACCCACCACCTTGACTCCCGCATGGACACCGTCAATCGCACCCCCGCTCGAGCGGCTAATCCACATGCTTGTATGCCCGCCCCTCCATCTCTCATTCCAACTGCGATACTCACATCCATAAGCAGTTCTTTGAGCCCGCAACCGCTTTTGATCCCCCGAACTCGTGATTTGCGATTCGCGTACCGTGGGGTGCGCCCTCTGCGTGCACAGTTTGCCCAGCAATCTCGCACCCCCGAGCTCTGCCTTGACGCCCCAGGAGAACCGCGACCAAAGGCTACACCTCACCGCGATGCACTCGGTGCGCGGACATCGAACCAAGCTCTCTATGCCGGTCCACCCAGACCCCACGACGCCCCGCCTCCCCTCCTCTCCTCCATCGCGCTTGTCCCCCTTCATCGCCGCGGCGACTACGCGCACGCATGTCCCGCTTTCGGAGCGGGTTTCATTACCCCACGAGGAGTCAGAGGGCTCCCGCTCCCCGCTTCAGGTTTTGTTACACCCTGTCGGTCTCGCTCACCATCTTTCCGCAGTGCAGCTTCCTCTTGAATCCAAGCCCGCGGATGAGCTTCATCGCGCCGCAACACTAGCCGCGGCCGGTGCTCTCCTCCTTAGACGTTCCTCCGACTCCTCTGATACCACCGATGCCTCCATCCGCACCATACCCATCCTTGCCATGTCAGCGAACCCTGGTCGAAACTGTCTGCCTTTCTCTTCTCCGTCCTCCGCTTGTTCCCGATGCGGGTACGCCACGCGCGGCTGCGCCCTCGCGCTTTGGCAATCCGATTCGTCTCGGCGCTGCGCTCCACTTGTCAGCGTTGCGCTCTGCAAGGTTGATCGGGGTATTCTCTCCTCCGTCCCCCACATCTGATTCCGAAGCTCCGTATCGCAATCATCATTGAACCTCGCCGTGCAATGTCCTCCGAGCCGCCGCACTCAACCACGTGCTGCCCCCTCCGACGTCCGAAGCATCTCCCTCCTTTTCTGCCCCATCTCCACTCATCCGAGGAACGCTCTTTGGCTCGCAGCGTCGTCGTCTAGGCTGATGTTGTGAGCGCCCGCCCTCCATCCTCCATAACTCGAGCGCGTCTGGGAGTCCCCGTTGCTTCAGTTTCAATGCGATGATCTTCGACGTCCGCCCACGTCTCCCTGAGTTATCTCTTTCTCGCCCCGCTACCGTGGACTCGGATCCGCATCCAATTTCGTGGACGGGACTCTGGAGGCCCACCTCGTTCCTCGAATCCTCTACCTACTCTGTGGTCACCCATTCAACTCGCTCAACAATCTCTCCTCGTCAGCGTCCACCTCAAAGAACGCCCTCTTGCTACTGCTACTGGGGTGCTCTGTGCTGATGACAACGGCGGATGTTGCGCGGACGGTAGTAGGTACGTCTCATTAATGCTGCTGCTACCGCTGACACCGCCGCGAACCTAACCCTGCCCACAAAAGGCGTCTTCCTCCGCGAAACCGCGCACGATGCCGCGTCCCTCACCCGCACGCTCTTCATAGCATCTGTATCTCCGCCTCCTCTCCTTCCTTCATCACAACGCAGGGCACGCGCCCGCGCATCCCGCCCGCGCCCGACGGCTACAGTGCCAATTTCCCGGCTCTCGTGTGCCTGGGCATGCTGCTCAGCTCTCTGCCCGTCGGTCGCGCGCCCCATCCTCTCCTTGCGCCCGCATCCAACGGGTCCGCCGCGCAGTCTGCTTCGAATTAGATTGCACACGCGTCGAGAGCTGCTCTCTTCCGTGGCCTCGTGATGCGCGCTTTGAACGTGGGCGCCGCCTTGCCGCCTCTCCTGTCTGGTCCGCAAAACTCGTCATGCTTTCCGCCCGCTCCTTGGTTCGCAGCGTCGAGCGTCTGATCCTGCATGCTCGTAAGCCCGCCCCTGCATCCCGCTGCATATGTGTGCTACTGACGTCGACCCCCTTGCCTGCACGCCCTTTAACTACCTCGAGTTTGCAATTCGGGCACCACGAGGCAACTAAGGACACACGGCCCGCTTGCAGCGAATGCGCTCAGCGATCCCGCGCTGTCGACGCCGCTCCGCGATTCTCATCCCGGGGTATTACGACCAACACGCGCGCCGTACTGCAGGAGCCTGCGAGTTTCATGCGGTAGTAGCGGGTGGGATTCCCTATTAGTCTCCGATATGCTGGTCTCCGCCGCGCTTCGTCTGTTCTGCCAACCGTGTGATCCCTCTCACCCCGCGTGCACTTGGATTCAGATTCAATTGCCGAATGGGGTCTCGAATTCGTCCGGAATCATGTATCTGCTCCTGCGGCTGCTCATTCCACTCGCGCGCGCACCAGTCTCTTCTGTTCCCAGCCTCCGTATTTCTGCCATCCACATCGAGGAACAAGCCCTTTTCCCCTGCTGCTGCGAATCTAGTCGCGCTCCGAATCTGATGTCCGAGGCAATATACATAAGGTGGAGAGCGTGGGAACCCAGCACCTTTATGTCAGCAGTCACATGTGACAATATCACGCCCGACAACGAGCGATATAACACCATCCATGAAGCACGGCACCCTAAAATTCTTCCTAGAACTGCTAGTTGCATGTCAGATGAAGAGGTTCTAGGAAGTACATTTGCCCAAAAGCCATCTGGAGGAAAGTTATAAGGCATACCAATCTTTCTGTCACATTTTTTTTGAAGTGTTCCTACATGCTTTCCCGCTCAAACGGCGCTTTTTTGGAGAATTTTCTTGCAAAATTTGGAACGCACAGCCACTGCACAGCCACATCGGCAGGTACCGGCATGCACTTTGGTCATGTTGTGCTAGCTACGGCAACCTCGGCACATTGGTTGGTGTACATTCCGATGTTTTCCATGTGTTTGTAGACTGTTTTAACTCTCATCCTAAGTAAATATTCATCTCAGGAGCCTCAATCATACAAATTAAAGTAAAATTTTCTGCAAACTCGAAGATTTGGACCTTCCCACGGGGTACAGCCACTGATTTGTAAGGGTGCTGGGTTCCCACGCTCTCCACCTTAATGCAGAAAGGTATCGACTGTAGAGGTGTCCGAGGGTGGATCGATGTTGTTTGGGAGCGGGGTCCATTGGCCGACACAGACGCTCTATCTAGCGCTGCACTGCGATTGAACTCTCTGGCCTCGGTAACCGCCATGTCTTGATGCTCCTCCCTTTGAAGGCACCAATCTAAAAAGGCCAGACGCCACGAATGTCCTTCAGTGGGGTCGAGCCACGGTTTCATGACGCCGCGAAGACCTATCCGAGCACCCGTTACCCTCTCTAACTAGTGCTCTCTCTGTATTTGGGTGAACCAGCGAAGTAAAACCTATCGCTCCCACGTATATGTCTCCAGGTGGGTTCGAACCACCGTCTCTCCCCGATATTTATTCCCACCAGCGAAACGGCTGGGAGCGGGTTTCACTACCCCATGAAGGCTTCATATGCGAATATCATATCCATTAATCTACCTGCACGATTGTGAGGAGGTTTCGGGCTTGCAGGCCGAGGAAAAGGCGTGGGCATCGGCTATCTTCGGAATTACCAAACAAGGATAGGCCGGGAATCTCCGAGCTGCCATGGCATCGCGGCCCGGTTCGCTTGAACGTGCCCGCCATCATGTTTCGTGCTTTTCTGTCTTTCCGGCGGCGAATTCTCTCGCGGCGCCGAGGCGGTTCTGCACCATCAATACTAATTCAACGCCTGCTCAGTACTCAGTTCCTGCACTTTGGGCTGGCTACCAGAAATCTGAGATGCTCTAACCCCGTACACCAAGCCCGCTACGCTCGCCACCCACCACCAGCGGCCCCTTCGCACCAAGCCCGCGCTCTCCATACCACCGCATCCCGTCCCGCCGATGCACCGCCTCACTCGCATGCCCCCTTCCAAACCTCCGTCATCACGGCTGCGGGGGCCCGCGCACCCACATCCCGCCCGCGCCCATTTGCTCGCGTTCGCCGTGGGTACCGCAATCGCCCTAATGCGCCTTATCTCGCCGCTCGGCGTTGCGCTGTGCGAGCCGCTCCTGTGTGTCACTCTCCGTCTTTCCCCGCATCCGAAGCTCTGTTTCGCCAACGCCATTGCGGGCTCGACTCGGCATCTGCTACCAGCTGCTGCACGCTCCACTCGCCTCCCGGCGCTGCTCCTCCCCGCCTGCTCGCGAGCTATGCCCTGCTCGAACATGCACGCCCCCGCAAGTGTGCTGTGCCCGTGCTATCCCTCCTCCGTCTCGCGATCGTCGGCGCCAGCGTCGGCATGCAACCCATCATGTTGTGACTCGCCTCGTACGTCCGCGCCCCGATCTCATGTGCGCGCTACTGACATGCGCAGGCAGGTCCCTACCTCGACTTCACTGCGTCTTTATATCCGCGATTCGAGCGCGGCGGGGCGGATGGACTGGGGGCGCGCTGTTCGCGTCTCACCATGTGCGTTTCGTGCCATCGCTGGGTCTTCTGTACTAGGTAGCGCGGATATAATTACAGTTTACTCTGCATCGTCGGCGCACATCGTCTTCTCGGTCCATCCTGCTCCTGCGTCGTCCCTCTCATTCGGCTCTTGTGTCGTCACTCTCAAGCTGCCCCTGTGGAGCGTGGAGTCGAATTCATTTGCGCGGATCCTCGTTCCTCGGATCGCACCTCTGCTCCTGGGTTGCTCACCGAGCAGACTGTGTCTCTCCACGTCCCAGCAATCGTGTTCCTATGATTTAACACAGTACATACTCTCCCGCTACCAGTCTCGGGCGGCCCATTGATTCCGATGTACAAAGTAGAAATACGCTTCATTGAACACGAGATGGGCTATAGCGGGACTGCACAATTGTTGAAAGGGACTAGCCCTCGTATGGATGGATCTGCGGTTTTGACAATGGAAGAAGGAGATCCACAATTTTGGTTTTGTTCGGGTGGTCACTGGCCTGGGCTGCTTCGAGCGCTGTCCCGTACATACCCCCTTCGAATGAAATTTCAGTGATCAATATTTGGACGTAGGAAAGCCTTGCCTTGGATAGTTGTGTCCGCACCCTTAGCAAGGAGGAGTCTAACAATTCCTGGATGACCCTTATACGACGCTGCTTGGAGGGCTGTCCCGTACTCCCCGGCTGTGAAAGTCCTGTTAGTGGTGTATGCTCGCGAGCAAAAGTTGCTCACCCTGCGCATTGACTTCTGCTCCATTCTCAAGAAGCCAGTTGACGATGTTCAAATGCCTATTAGCAGATGCCGCTTGGAGCGCCGTCCCGTACAGCCCGCCTTCGAGAATGCCGTTTCAGTGGTGTATACTCGCAAGCGAAAGTTGTGACCTTGAGCATTCACGTCTGCGCCCTTTGCAAGAAGCAGCTTGGAAATTTCTGTACGGCCATGATATGACGCTGCTTGGAGGGCTGTCCCGTACTTCCCGCCTTCGAGAGTGCCGTTTTAGTGGCGTATACTCGCAAACGAAAAGTGGTAACCTTGAGCATTCACGTCTGCTCCCTTTGTAAGGAGCAGCTTGACAGCTTCTGTCCGGCCCCAAGTAGTTGCTGCCTGGAGTGCTGTCCCGTAATACCCGCCTGTGAATACCTGTTAGCAAGTGATGTCCTCACAAGGGGTGAATTCTCCCCCTGAGCATTCACGTCTGCTCCCTTGTCCAGAAGCAGCTTCATGATTTCAAATTCAAATTCCACTCCGGCAGATGCACTCTGGAGCGCCTTCCCGTACTTGCCGCCTTCAAATGTGGTTTTAGTCGTGTATCCTCGCAAGTGACAAATACTCACCCTGAGCAGTCACGTCTGCTCCCGCGTCAAGAAGGAGCTTCACAATTTCCGCATGGCTGTTGAACGATGCTGCTTGAAGCGCTGTCCCGTATTCGCCGCCTTCAAATATCATTGTAGTGGTGCACTGTATGGACGCGAAGATGCTCACCCTGAGCATTCACGTCTGCTCCCGAATCAAGAAGAAGCTTGAAAATTTCCGCATGACCCTTGAATGAAGCTGCTTGAAGCGCCGTCCCGTATTCACCGACTTCGAATGTGGTTCTAGTCGTGTATCCGCGCAAGTGACAAATACTCACCTTGAGCATTCCCGTCTGCTCCCGCATCAAGCAGGAGCTTGACAATTTCCGCATTCCCGTTGAACGATGCTGCTTGAAGCGCCGTCCCGTATTCGCCGCCTTCAAACATTATTGCAGTGGTGCATATGGACGCGAAAATGCTCACCCCGAGCATTCACGTCTGCTCCCGCATCAAGGAGGAGCTTGACAATTTCCGCATGCCCATTGAACGACGCTCCTTGAAGCGCTGTCCCGTAGGTGCCGCCTTCAAATGTGATTTTTAGTGTGTATCCGCGCAAGTGACAAATACTCACCCTGAGCATTCCCGTCTGCGCCCACATCAAGAAGGAGCTTGAGAATTTCCGCATGCCCGTTGAACGACGCTCCTTCAAGCGCCGTCCCGTAGTGGCCGCCTTCGAATGTGGTTTTAGTTGTGTATCCGGGCAAGTGGCAAACACAGACCCTGAGCATTCACGTCTGCTCCCCTTGCAAGAAGCAGCTTCACAATGGTTGAATCCCCAACGACAGTTGCCGCGTAGAGCAGCGGCTGGCCTTTGTCATCTTTGAGCGCGATTTCAGTACTGTATCCGTGCAATTGACAAAACTCACCCCGAATATTCGGGTCCGCACCGTGGTCCAGCATTGTGGCTACAAATCTGTCGTCGCGCCGAGACACTGCGAGCTGCAGTATTGTGGCATAACTACAACCTATATTTGATTGGTGAGCAATCGCCCATCTCAAAAAGGCAAGATGCCCACCGTGAATATCTATGTCGAGATGGGCACCTTTGTTGACCAGATCCAAGATCCGCGCCGTCGGTCCCTTTTCGCGTACAGTATCCGCTAGCGTTTGAGTAAGCTGATCCATATGCTCCTTTTCGCGGCGGGCAATTTCATTCTTGTGTTTTGTCTCGCGACGCTCAGAGATGGTCTCCACCAGGTCGCGCAACGGCAGCACAAGTAAAATGATGGCCAGAACTTGGCCGAAGGTCCAATCGGACTCCCCGCCCGTCTGTAAGTCCCGATTTTGTCGAAGAGTGAGCTCAATATTGACGAGGAATATGAGGTTGATTACAAAGAGGAGACCCATGCCGATGACAATGGGGACGATACTCGGCTGAGAAGGATCTGACGGACGTGGTTCCAGGTGGTTGCGCCGACGGAATGCCTGGTATACAAGGAACAGACCGAGGAAAAGCCCCAATGGGAGGAATAAATTGAGGCCGGGTGTGAGGAAGAGTGAATAAATGGCAATTGACCACACGCGCAATTGAGTCGAGCCAAGACCAATCGGGTGGCCAAGGATGACGGTAGATGCACAGGGAGTGGCGATTCCGAATGAATCTGGCGCGCTCCACAGCCAGATCCCTAGAGCGGCCATGAGGGAGAGGTGGAGGGAGCCGAGTACGAGAACGATCTTTTTGAATATGCCGCGGATCGTCGATGGACGGGGAACTCGGGGGCTCAGGAGAATTTTGTAGATGATGTTCTTCGTTGATTTCTGTTCTGTTGTCGAGGTCAGATTTCAATTTGGACGCAGAAAACGCTGTTACCATCACATTTTTCGGTAGCGGTCACCCCTGCATTTGACTCGCCGTCTTTGGGTTCAATGCCCATCGGATCTCGAGACGTCGTCCGGTTTTTCTCTCCTGTAACCCGATGTCGGTGGCGAGGCGGATCAAACAAGAAATTTGCGTACTCTGCTGATGCTGGAGAGCTTTCCTTGGCAATGGAGGGATATTCCAAAGTTTCTCCCGAATGTGCTTGATCCATGACTTTAGATCCATTTTGATTTCGCACTGACTCTTCTGCTGAACGTAGAGAAGAAAGTAGATGAACGTGTTTGTGTTGTTCATCCAGCTGAGATTGAGAACAATGCTGGCGTGGAAGCTCGACAACCCCGCCTTCCGAGCCTCAACCATGGCCGAGATCAGGATGGCGAAGGCCGTGATGAGGATCGTCGTCGATTGGGTCTCGACAGACTCGAGCTCGTATTCGGAAACGTTGCGGTCCGAGAGCGCCCAGACAGCGGGGATGAAGCTAAGCAGATTCTGAGCATAGATTGCTACCCGGACACCGATTCCAGAGATGTCAGGATTTGACGGGATGCTGCATGGGAAGGAGGCCATCGGGGAGAGGGAGTTCGACAACAATGCGCAGGTCTGGACCGCTGGCCGCGCGGCTGCCACGAGGCTGTCCGTGACATAGTTAATGAGAGGATTAAAATACCATTCATGCCGTAATTGCCGTGTTGTTTCTGGCGATGGTCGAGAGTAAGTAGTAGCACAGGTCAGCCCAGGCAAATAGTTGATCGAATCTGCTCGACAGAAAGAGCTAGGGTTAGACCAAGACGCTCGCAGTTGTACGATTTCAAGCTCAGCGGAAGTAGGAAGCAAACGTTTGCGACTTCCACATGA